TGTGAGAGAGAGGGTGTGTGTCTGTGTGCGTGTAAGAGAGAGGGTGTGTGCCTGTGTGTGTAAGAGAGGGTGTGTGTCTGTGTGCGTGTGAGAGAGAGGGTGTGTGCCTGTGTGTGTAAGACAGGGTGTGTGCCTGTGTGCGTGTGAGAGAGAGGGTGTGTGCCTGTGTGCTTGTGAGAGAGAGGGTGTGTGCCTGTGTGCTTGTGAGAGAGAGGGTGTGTGCCTGTGTGCTTGTGAGAGAGAGGGTGTGTGCCTGTGTGCTTGTGAGAGAGAGGGTGTGTGCCTGTGTGCTTGTGAGAGAGAGGGTGTGTGCCTGTGTGCTTGTGAGAGAGAGGGTGTGTGTCTGTGTGCGTGTGAGAGAGAGGGTGTGTGTCTGTGTGCGTGTGAGAGAGAGGGTGTGTGTCTGTGTGCGTGTGAGAGAGAGGGTGTGTGTCTGTGTGTGTGTGTGTGTGTGAGAGTGTGTATTGTGACTGTCACCAGATCTATGAACGGTTCAGGTGACTGCTGGATTGATCACCCCACCTTATCCGTTCCACAATGTCCATCAGACTACACTGAAAGTGGTGGGGTCAGAAGAAGCAGACCCAAAGCAGATCCAGTCACTATGCAACATCTACAAGCCTCACTCGCTAAAATCATAAAATACCTGGAGGACACAGGAGAACACTGGAGTCTGCTTAAATCAGTATCTTCAATAATACCCTCCGGTATGTCCAGCAACCATTAGGATTGGACAGCTTTCTGTGATTGGCAGAATGACTTAAATTGCAAGGCCAAAGAAGAGCCTATACCAAAGTTAAGGTTGACGTCCAGAAGATTGTAAGGGAGCGTGAAAACAAGTGGTGGACTGGCAATGCCTTGAAAATCCTGCAGCTGGCAGATGCAAGTGACACAAGGTATCTTCAGCGCCACCAAGGCTCCCCTGGTCCAAGCTCCCATGGCCTAAAATTGCTCAAGGACAACAAAGCCTGAGAGAGCATTTCTAAGAACTCCTCAACTGTAATACTTTAACGTCGAAATCATTGACCAAATCCCCCAGTGATCCTTGCAAAGTGACATGGGAGAACCTCCCAGCGAGACCGAAGTAGAAGATGCCATAAGAAGCCTAAGAAACAGCAACGCTGCTTGTCCTGATGGGATTCCTGCAGAGATCCTAAAGGAAGGCGGCCCACAGATCCATGAACACATCTATGCTTTGCTCCTGAAGATTTGGCTCAAAGAAAAACTTTCCTTGGAGCTCAGGGTGACAAGGCTGATTGTGGGAATTACAGAGGCATCTCCCTTCTGTCAACCATTGCAAAATGCTTGCACATGTCCTTACCAATAGACTCCAGCTGTTATCTGAGGAAATACTCCCCGAATCGCTGTGTGGCTTCCACCCGTCCAGAGGAACAACAGACATGATCTTGACCGTGCGTCAATTACAAGAAAAATGTCAGGAACAGAAACAACTGCTTTATATGGCCTTCATCAACCTAACTAAGGCCTGTGACACAGTTAATCACCAGGCTGTCTGGCAGATCCTGTTACAATGCAGCTGCCCTGATAAGCTCAGCAGGATGCTGAGGCTGCTGCACGATGACAAGTCTGCGACAGTGCTTAGCAACTGTGCACTGGAGTCTGAGCTTTGCACCGTGAAGACTGGGTGAAACAGGGCTGCATCACTAAACCCACCCTGTTCACCATTTTCAATGCCGCCATCCTCCATCTCACCGGCCAAAACCTGCCCCAGGGAATTCAAGTTGTTTACCATTTGGATGACAGGCTGTTCAACCGTAATAAGTTAAAGGCCAAGGGCAAGGTCTCCATCTTACAGAGCTTCAATATGCTGACGACAACACCATCGCATCACACTCTGCACAAGATCTGCAGTGCATCAGTGGCTTTGCCAAGGCAAATGAGCTCCTAGGCCTTACCCTGGACATAAAAAAGGCTCTAGTGCTCCATCAACCACCACCCAACAATCCCACCAGTCCTCCTACAATAAGGATCAACGACCATTCCCTTGAAAATGTGGATCAATTCCCATACCTCGGCAGCCTTCTCACCTCCAAGGCCAGCATCAATGCAGAAATACAACACCGTCTGAGCTGTGCCAGTGGAGCCTATGCCCGACTCTGAAGAGTGTTTGAAGACAATGCCCGACAGGCCCAGACTAAACTCCTGGTCTGCAAAGCCATTGTCCTTCCCACACTGCTACAGGGAGCTGAAATGTGGATTACCAACAGTAGGCACCTTAAAGCATTGGAACATCACAACCAGAGATCCCCACGGAAAATCCTGCAGATTACCTGGGAAGACAAGTGCACTAACACCAGCGTCTTGTTGGCGGCCAACATAGCCAGTATCTCCACCACCTTAATTCAGCAGCAATTCTGATGGACCGGCCATGTCATCTGTATGCCCAACTCACACCTCCCAAAATAGATCATATACTCCCAGCTGAAGAAAGGTCAGTGTGCCCCTGGTGGCACAAAGAAACACTTCAAAGATAACATCTGAACCAAACTCAAGAAATTCCATATCAACATCAACAGTTGGGAGGACATGGTTACAAACTGGAGTCACTGCAGAAACATCATCCAGCAAGGGACTATACACCACAGGAACAATCTCCGCTGTGCTACTGAACAGAAGAGGGCCTTGCACAAGGAGAGGCAGAACATCCGGAAGGCCCACACACCAAAACCTCCAACCATTACCACCCAGCAATGGCTACAGTGCAATAGAATCTGTGGATCCCAGAGTGGTGTCTTCAGCCATCTGAGGATCCACAATAGATGCCTGTATGGAGGACAGTCATACTCAACCTCAGTGATCACTGGTGTGTGTAGGAGTGTGCATGTAAAAGTGACTGTTGGAAAAATGTGATAGAGAGTTCGTGTGATTGTGTGAGACAGTGTGTGTGTGTATATGCACAGGTAATTGAGTACAAGCACATTATTGCATGAGAGTGTATGTGCAAGAGTTTCAGTGTGTGTATCTTTCTGAATAGGTCTTCGTATATCCTCATGTCAATGAGCATGTGACAGTGCCAATAGGTTATTTTACTGTGCTAGACATCACAGCCAAGCCCATATTCACATGAGGCTTTTCTTCTTGTAAATTCCTGGATTGAGACCAGCAGGACAGATTGGGTCCAGAGCACAGAAGCTAACTTTAGCAGTTTTACCTTGGAGGCAGTAAAGCCGTACAAACCTGGAGGGCTCTGCTCTGCTTTGAATCTTTCACACTGTGCAGCTCACAAACCAGGGGACCATCTGGGCACATTAAGTACACTGGATATTAGGTGATTGTCATTAAAATTCATTGAAGAATTTTGAGATGGTTTTAAGACATGTTGATGTTGCTCTCAAACCTTAATAAGGGGGAATTAATGTCAATCGTTTACATCACAGCACCTCATTGGTGTAGTTCATGCACAATCATTCTCTACAGTGCTGCATTGGACTGGATGACTGCAGCAACCCTTGGGCTGCATTGGGCTGACAGAGCACTGCTGTGAGTGAGTATATATCAGAACCAATGAAGTGTCACTGAGGTATTCACACACAGGAACCTGATCCCAGACTGCTGTTCACCATCTGACCATATAAGGATGGACAGGACACACAGGATCCGTAATGAACTCAGAATACAGCCCTACTGTCATTACCTGTAAATACTCCTCCAATAATGGCACAGACTCCAGTGAGAAAGTGTGTGAATGATCTGTAAGACAAACCACAAGCTGGGTCAGTGCTGTGCTCAGCATTACAATACTCAGTGATGTTAGGGTTGAACAAATTAAGTTCAGCATTGCACTTCCATCTCAGAATGTGTCAGCATCAAACAGTTTCAGCTCAAAGACCAAATTCAGTATTTACTCAATGTAAAAAAATTAATGCCTGATACTAAGTTTGCACAGGCTGCAGCTCAATACAACAAATACTGTGTGGATTTTATGTACCTGTGTTTCTCTGTGAATTTGACCATCATTGGAGATAGCTCATAAAGCACAAAGACACCCGGGAGCCCCTGGTCTCCAATTAGTCCATTTGCAACCTTCTCATGCCGTGTGACTGAAAACTGATTTGTCCTCACTACCTGGAAAGCAAGAACAGTGACTGAGTCAGCTCGGAAAGCTGAAGAGGTGGGTGAATCAATGCAGCTATGAACATCGCAGCCAGTGGTCATTTGCAGGCTGTGAGCTAACCTGCCCAAAGACAGCATAGGCACTGAATAACATGGTGCATACTCAGATCCTTTGGACTTGGGAACACATGTTCAAACTCACAGTGGGTCAAAATCAACCCATTAGACCTTGTAGTGACTGGAGAAAAATGTTGCAGCATGCTGTGTGTGAGTGACTATCGTGAGAAACGAGGAATTGGGAATGGGAGGGCGAGACTAGTAACAGACAGAGCCCGCAGAATAAAATACACTTACAAATGAGACCCAAAGTAAAACATTTTGACGAGCAAGAAACTGTACTGTGAGAGGACAGCACTGTCAGAGGCCATAACAAATAGGAGTAGGCCATTCGGCCCCCTCGAACCTGCTACACCATTCATTGGATCATGGTGAATCCAACACTTCTCACATCCACTTTCCTACCCCTTGTCATTCTTCATTTCCTCACGAATCTACTTGTTTCAGACTTGAATATAAACAATGATTCTGTCCCCACACTTTTAGAGTCCGAACCAGTTTAATCTTTGCTCGCAGACAATCCCTCCATCCTCGTGAACCTTCTCTGAATTGCCTCCAATAAAATTATATCTTTCCTTAAAGGAACTGAAACTACACACAGTACTCCAGATGTGGTTTCACTAGCACCTTGTACAATTGCAGTGAGACTTCCCAACTCTTATAATCCCAGCCTCATTGAAATAAGAGCCACCATTCCATTAGCGTTCCTGATTAACTGATGCACCTGTGGCTTTGTGTTTCGTGCACAAGACCACCCCCAAGTCCCTTTGTATTGCAGCTTTCTGCAGTTTCTTGCCGTTTAAATAAAACTGTTCTTTTGTTCTCCCTTCCAAAATGAACAACTTCATATTTTTCCACAATATACTCTATTTGCTGACTTTTTGCTCACTAACTTAACCTGTCGATGCTGTTCTGTAAACTATCTGTAGCGCTCTCAACTTGCCTTTCCACCTGTTTTGTGTCATCTGCAAATTTGGCCATAGTACATTCACTTCCTTCCTCCGAGTCATTAATATTTACTGTAAACAGTCATGGTCCCAGCACCGATCCCTATGGAACTCCACTGGGCACAGGTCACCAACCTGAAAAAGAACCCCTTGTCCCCTCTCACTGTTTCCCACCCATGACCCAATTCGTTACCCACGCCAATATACTACCTCCACACCATGGGCCCTTATTTTACGACTTAATCTATTGTGAGATACCTTGCTGTGTGCCTTCTGGAAGTCCAAATACAATACAAGTACTGGTTCCCCTATACCCAATTTGGTTAAGAATTCCTTGATAAACTTTCATAAACTAGTCAGGCACAATTTCCCTTTCACAAGTCCATGCTGACTCTGCTTAATTAGATTATAATTTTCCATTGATTCCACTACTTTTCCAACAAAAGGTGCTAGGCTTTAGGCTTATCGGCCTATAGTTACCTGCTATTTGCCTCCCTCCCTAACCAGAGGGTCAGTGCTGAGGGAGAGCTATGGATTTTGGGTTAGATATTAATTTGATGCCCCATCTGATATAAAGCACAGAATGAGAGGAGAAGCTGGAACTCACCTCACCATCCAACTTGACATAAATTGTTGGGACAATTTTCACAAAGTACTGGAACATCATAGAGGCTAAAAGAAATAGAGCAAAATTAAATGCTGTTTTACAATTAGGAACTTGCTCTTCTTGATCCTACAGCAGACCAAAAAAAAAACAAAACAATTCAACAAATAAATGTCACATAAATTTCTTACAAACTGTTCCCTAAAATTTTTTGGTTGTTCTTGGGCACTCATTTTAGTCCAGTAAAACGAATTGGAACTTCACTGAATTCAATGAGAAAGGAAAACCTGGGCGTACTGGTTTAGGCAATTCCTGACTGCTCATACTTCAGTAAAATCTGAAAAGGTCACAGCAACTGGCACTGACCTTAGTGCACTTACATTGCAGCAACTGATTTCACAGAGTTCAGGGAAGAGTAAAAAACATGAAAACTGAGAATTGATTGCCAACGTTTCACATCAGAAAGCAGGACTCTAATGTTGCCGCGTTCATATTCATGTTAACAACAACTTGTATTTACATAGCACCTTTAACATAGATAGCATTGGTCCCAAGATACTTCAAATTCTGGTGGGGACAGATCTGTCACTGTATTGTATCAGAACGTTGAGATTGGGAAATGACACTGCCCAATCCAAAAGAAGAATAAGTAACGAGCGGAGAGCTGACGTCAGTTGGGCCAGCGCAGAACTGGGCTGGAGAGACAGGAATCAAAGGTTGGCAGGAAAGACAGTAGCTAACAATGGGCTACCTTCAATGAGGAGATTGTTCAGCACAGTCAAAAGGGACAGGTAGGATAAACAAATCCAGAGTTCCCTGGGTGAAAAAGGAAATAGAAATTAAGATAAAGAAGCAAAGGTATGTCTCTGACAGGTGTCAAGTAGTAAATACAATTGAGAACCAAAAGGAATATGGAAGATTCAGAAGAGGGGTAAGAAAGCAAAGAGGAATGATGAGAAAAAAAACTGGAAACTAACATAAAAGGGAATCCCAAAGTCCTCTATAAGCACATTAATAGTAAAAGAACAGTAAATGGAGGAGTAGGCACTAAAACTGGGATTTAGACTTGGAGACAAAAGGCATGACTGAGCTGTTAAATGAATACTTTGCATCTGTCTTTACCCACAAGGCAGAATCTACCTGGTCATGGTGACAGTGGAGATAACTCAGTCACGAGAAGGGTTTAAAATTGATTAGAAGGAGGTATTGGATAAGCTATCAGATCTCAGCTGGGGTTTGTCACACTTTAGGAATTATGTGAAAGCATTGGAGTGCAGAAAAGATTTATGACAATAGTTCCAAGCATGGCTCACTTCAGTTATGAGGATAGATTAAAGATGTTGGGTCTGTTCTCCTTGAAGAGAATAAAGCCAAGGGGAGATTTAACAAAAGTTTTTTAAAGTTGTAAGGGGTCTACACAGAAAGAATAGGGTTCTCCCTGTCACTGTATAACACTGGGGTACAGTACTGGTGGGACAAGGTTTGTCACTGTACAACACCAGGGATGGTCGGAGAGGTACTATGGATAAACTAATTTTAGAATTAATTTTAAGACAGCTTTCACTTATTCTGCTGGTTATATTAATGTAAAACATTCACATTTGTTGCGGCGTTTATGTTTGTCCCTGATTGGGAGGGTGCTGATCTGCTGGCCTCTGTGGGGCCATTGGGGTTAGAGTCTTTGTTCAGTAGCAAACTGAGTGTACTGTACCAGGGTGCACAGAGAGATGCCAAGCCGCACAGCTACAGCGGCCAGTGGCACAGTGCCCTGCCCACTGCTGGATTTTTCTCTGAGCTGGAAGCAATAGAGTTACTGCCATGTGCTGGGTTTGCCTGATCAACTGACTGCTGACTTGATCTCTGACCGGGCTACCTGCGAAGAGTGACACTTGGCCAAAAACAGAAACAACATCGTGGGCTGGAGGAACACAGCAGATCAGGCATTCGGGTCCAGTTCTGAAAGAGGGTCCCCGGCCTGCTGTGTTCCTACAACTCCACACTGTGTTATGTCTGACTCCAGCATCTGCAGTTCTTGCTAACTCCGGGTGACAAAAACAGAAGTTGCTTCTAAACACTCAGCAGGTCTGGCAGCATCTGTGAAGAGGAATCAAAGTTAAGGGTTCAGCACCTGAACCGTTAACCCTGATTTCTGTTCACAGATGCTGCAGAACCTGCTGAGTTTTTCCGGGTTGATGACCCGTGACTGTTCCATACGCACTTCCGGCACGCAACTTCCCGTGTGGGAGGTGAGATGGTTCTCTGAGGGGCCGAGTCCGAGCGCGGGGTTCACGGTGAGTGAGGCCCCAGGCGGGGACAGGGCAGCGGGAGGAGCCGGGAGCTCAGGGTTACGGGGTAAGTGGTAGGCAGAGGGAAGGGGAAAGAGGACCAGGAATTCCCTAGAACAGCTTATTAAAATTAGACGGGTTTTTGTCTCTAATTTGTGGGCCCTGACAACATTCTGGCAATTACTTGCATCTACCTGGCATTGTAGAAGATTGCCTAGGGTTGCCTTCTACACAAAAACAGGACTGCCGTAGTGTTATACTCTGCTAATAAAGCAGCACTCATAGAGGAATAACCTACCAAGTTCATTAGGCTCCTGACCACGTTACAGTTTGTCCAAGACATGAGTAACCGACCTCGACATCAAGGCTATGTCTGACCAAGAAGAAAAGAAAATGGCTTTGGTCGAAGGCCAGTTGTCTCAGCTCTTGGCCATCATGCAGCAGTTCTTCAGGTTTTTTTTAAATCAACCTGTTCAGAGAAATGAATCACCTCCAGAACAGGTGGAACTTGAACCCAGGACTTCTGGCTCTCGGGTACTGATATTTCCACTGTTCCACCAGCTCCCTGGTTCTTCAGGGTTGTGTCCCAAGCCCAGTCGTCACTATCAACTGCTTCATCATAAGGTCAGAAGTGGGGATGTTTGTTGATTATGCAATTTTCGGCACCATTTGTAACTCCTCAGGTACTGAAGTAGTCCATGTCCAAATGCAACAAGACCTGGACAACATCAAGTTTGGAGCTGATAGTTACAGTCATAGAGCTGTACAGCATAGCAACAGATCCTTCAGTCCAACTCATCCATGCGGACCAGATATCCTAACTTAATTTAGTCCCATTTGCCATCATGGAAGTAACAATCACACCAGACAATGACTATCTTCAACAAGAAAATCTAACCATTGTCCCTTGATGTTCAATGGCATTTCCAATGCTGAATCTCCAACATCCTGAGGGGTTAACACTGACCAGAAGCTGAACTGGATCAGCCATATAAATATTGTAGCTACAACAGCAGGTCAGAGGCTAGAAATTCTGGCAAATAACTCGTATCCCTAATGCCTACCATTATCTACAAGGCATGAGTCAGAACTGTGATGAAATACTACCCACTTACCTGGATGAGTGCTGCTTATTTGAGAAGCTTGATACGACTCAGGACAAAGTAGTCCACTTTACTGGCATCCCATCCACCACTTTCAACATTCACACCCTTCACCAATGCACAGTGGCAGCAGTGAACATCTAGAAGATGCAGTGTAATAACTCATATGGCTTCTTAGACAACATCTGTCATGCATGATCTCTCCCACCTAGGGCAAGAGCAGCAGCTCCAACATCCACTCCACTTGGGACTTGGAAATATATCACTGTTCCTTCAGTGTCGCTGGGTTGAAATTCTGCAACTCTGTTCTTAACTGCACTGTCGGTGCACCTACAACTCAAGGCCTGTAACTGGTCAAGAAGGCACTTGCCACCCCCTTTTCCAGGACAGTTAGGGTTGACAATAAATGCTGGCCCAGCCAACCACACCTACGTCATGAAACACAACATTTAAAAGTGTTTCATGGTTACCATTCCTGAGGCTAGTTTTCAATTCTGAGATTTTATCAATCAAAGTTGTGCCATTGTGTGATTTTGAATCCAGGTCATCAGAACTTTAATCTCTGGATTGCTAATCAAGTTACATTCCCATATTCTCTTTGTGGGAATGAATTGGAGGGATGTAAGTGACTTGTTTGCTGTCCTCTGTGGGTTAAAACTAAAATTGTTTGATACCAGTTCAAAATTCTATTATACTTGATATTAGGTTTTGAAAATCGTTGTCAAAATAAATGGGGCTGAACAAACTAGAATCAAAGTAATAGCTGAAATTGCAGCATAAAATGAGATGGATCTTCTAAATAGTTATTTCTTTGCTCTAGCTGGGGAGCTGTCAGACAACATGGTAGACCAACCAACAGCAGAGTTGAAGACAAGGGATTGGAGGAATCCTATGTCAGTTGTAGTTCCAATTTTGTTAAAACAGGAGTTGATGTCAGTGGCTGAATAAGATTAAGGGGTGAACTTACAGACATTTATAAAATTATGAGGGGCATAGATAAGGTGAAGAGCAGAGGTCTTTTCCCTAAGTGGTGGTGGTGGTTGGGGGGGCTTTCAAAACTAGGGGTCATATTTTTAAGGTGAGAGGAAAACATTATAAAAAGGACAGTGATTAGTACGCGGAACGAACTGCCAGAGGAAGTTGTGGATGCAGGTCCAGTTGCAACATTTAAAAGACATTTGGATAAGTACGTGAATCGGAAAGGTTTGGGGGGGGAGATATGGCCAAACACAGGCAAGTGGGATTAGTTGGACCGAAGGGTTTGCTTCCATGCTGTATGACTCTATAACATAGGGCACTGGGGGAAGAAGAATGGGTTAGTAATCAGTCGTGGTGTTCTCTAATCACTGTCGTTTTCTCTCTAGATGCCAGTCACAGTGGGACCGTATGGGCAGTCACAGCCCAGCTGCTTTGACAGGGTTAAAATGGGCTTCATGATGGGCTGTGCAGTTGGCATGGCAGCTGGTGCACTTTTTGGCAGTTTCTCATGCCTCAGGTTAGTATGAACACTTCACTGTTCCACCTTTGTTAAAAGGAAACAGAAACATAATGGCATGTATATTCCCAAATATCAAAGATGAGCCAGTGCAGATGCCCCCTCACCCGCCCATTGATATCAGTTAGCTATGACAGGACCTGTCAGTTGCACAGGCGCTATGACCAGCTCGGATATATCAATGAGAATCTAGACAATATTACTGAATAATGGGATGTTCAGATTTCTGGAGGACACGGGAATTTGAGAACTGTAAAGACACCACCCTGATTGTTTGCTGCTGAGAGATATCACAGTTGGAATAAAATATTAACCCAGCAAAGCTTTCTAAACCACTAGTTGTTAAGACATTCGCAATTAATGTTCCATCGCATAAGTTCAAAAAGTATTCAACAAAGCCTTGAGTATGGATCAGTAATCGTGTTTGTAAAAGTGGTTACAGATTTTTGATATTATTAAGCATCTGACTGCACTCAGAATGAGTATGATCCACTGCTGTTATCTGTGAAAGGCTGACTTGAGGTATATTAGCCATGAACTTAGCAAGTGGCAAAGTAGACTCAGGGGGTCTCCAGCTCCTATTTATTATTTCGTGTGAAGATACTGTTAACACCATGTTCTTTTCAATGCAACGTATAGAGTCGTCCTCAGATTAATGTTATATTGAAAGGAAAGACCACCAGTACGGCATTGGAGGGAACAGCTAAGCTCAAGTCTACAATCTCACTAATCAGAAAGAAACAGTAACTCAGCCAGGCTGCAACTACTGACAAGTTTGGTTCCATTGCTATACCGTGCAAATGCTGACATGTTTTATCTGTTCCCTGAAATTGAGTTTGACCTATACTGTTTGAATACCTTAGCCTCAGTGAATTAGGAAGAGTGTAATCAAGAATTTTGATTTTACTATCCATTTAGCAGCCACGACAATGTAACTGTTGCATATTTGGTTTCCAGGTTGGGGCTGAGAGGCCGAGAGCTGCTGGGTGGTGTCGGGAAGACCATGATGCAGAGCGGAGGCACATTTGGAACCTTCATGGCGATTGGAATGGGAATCAGATGCTAACACAATTGTTTTTTTCTTCCTTTCTGTTGAAATTTCAAATATTGCAGATAATGTACCAACTGGCTCTGTCCCCCTGATTACAAGCTGTACAATAATGGAAATTAAAATGTATGATTTACTGTTGTTTCAAGTTTTGAAAATGGACTGAAGTTTCTCCAACAGTAGTTGAACTTCTAAAAGATCTTTACTAGTAGCACAAACAGGATTGGAGGACATAAGTGAAGTACAAGTGAAATGTATCCGGTAGGGGAAGCCTTTGTTGCGTGAAATTTAGGAGGACATGGAAAAACAAAGTATAGATGCTGGAAATCTGAAGTAAAACAAAGTGCTGGAGAACAGTCTGGCAGGATCTGCGGAGAGAAAAACATTGTCTGATATGACTCTTGCTCTGAAGCTGTCTTTCTTTCTCCACAGATGCTGCCAGACTTCTTTTTGAGTTTCTCCAGTATCCACACAAATACAAAACTAAATGATGTGTCGATCCATTTTCAGCAGTCTGCTGCCATCCTCCTAAAATAAAATGTGAAGCAGTGCATTTTAATGGGAAAATTAGAGGCAGTCTAAACTAAATGGCATAAACTAAATGGCAACAAATGCTGCCTGGTCAGCGATGTCCTCATCCTGTAAATGAATAAGTGAAGAAAAAATTTAAAGGAGGTGCCTGGACAGAAATCTTTGGACCAGGAGGAAAAGTTGAGAATGCTGTTAAAAAGCGCATAAAATCCTTGGCTTTACAAAACAAACAAAACAAAACATCTGGTTCAAGGTGTTCAATTTTGGGCAACACAATTTACGAAGAACATCCAAAAGGTTATTGTGCGCATGTGTGGAGATATACGAGAATGGCTCTAGGTATGTGGAGAGTCTGGGATTGTTCTCTTTGGAATAAGGATGGTAGTATTCCACAATAAAGGAGTTTGGTCAAGTAAATAAGGAGAAATCTTGCATCAGTAGTAAGGCTGATGACCAAACTGAATTGTGACAGAACAGTGAAAACAGATTCAACAGTAATGTTCAAAAATGAATACGGGGAAGTGAGCAAAGGACAGTGGCTGAGAGTGTTCCTCTGCTATATGATTCTCAGGCAGTTGGGCTCGTACCAGCGCCAGTTACTTTTTAATAACCTATTAAATGCTGATTCTGTGTTGCACCTAAGCTCTGTTGTGGTTGTAATGTCTTTGGCCTCAGAAGAAGCAATAAATAGCTCTGTTATTCAGATGTAAAGAACTCACCATTGTGCCATCCAACGAAAATGTGTTCTAACCCCGCTTATGTGTTGGGGTAGTTAATCAAGGTGAGTAGGAGTGGGGTGAGAAAGAATCGGCTAATTTTGTGTTTCTGACCATTCTTCACTGGTTCTAAGAGTGGGTGTGGGGTCACCTGTTTATTCAGTGTAAGCCATGATAATCACTTCAGAGATTGAGAGGGGAACATACCCACTGATGACTTATTCCTGGTGAATGAATCAGCAACTTTAAGGTCGAGTGGGGTAACAATACCCAATCAAAGTCATACTGCTATCTATTTAACCTTCAGTAAACTGAATTTTCAATGATATAATAACAAGGTACGTTATATTGTGGATTTTGTGACTTGAGACAAGAGTCTTAAATTTGCAAATGGTATTCTTTCAACGCAACCTTGTTTTCCTGGGAGACTGTCCTGCTTACCTTGTTGTGCTGTGATATTACTTCCATCCAGAGGATTCACGATTCCTGGATAGTCGCTCCCAAAGGAGAGGTGTCTGATATAATGAGTCATGTTTATCTGAAGGGGAAGAGAAGTTGCTCAAAAAATATATTTCACAGCAGGATGCTTTTCTAGATGTGTCCCAGTGAACACCCCATAAACCTGTATAGACTGAATGGTCCATTTAATCACTGTATCAACTGCGGACTTGACTTTAGGTGCTTAGGCCCTAAGCTCTGGAATTCCCCCTCAAACTTACCACTTTAGGTTTTTTGGATTCCTGCGTAATGACAGGTGGTTTGGTATCAATTCTGTTCAAAAGTCACCTCCTGTGAAGCATCTTGGAATGTGGTATTTAAATGCAAGTTGTTCAAGGATATTGAGTAAATTCCAGTATTGAATTGATGACATACAGGTGTGAAGCACATCACAAGCAGTGATTCTTCAGTCCAGACCATCAACTGTATACTCTATTTGAAAAGAATTCTCAAAAGCCAAATCATAGAATCTCTACAGTGTGGAAGCAGGCCATTTGGCCCAGAGTTCACACCAACCCTCTGAAGAACATTCCACCCTCTACCCTGTCCCTCTGATCCCCCATTTCCCATGGCTAATCCACCTAGCCTGCACATCCCTCGACACTATGGGCAATTTAGCATAGCCAATGTACCTAACGTGCACATCTTTGAACTGTGGGAAGATACCGCAGCTACTGGAGGAAACCCACACAGACACGGGGTAAGTATGTGCAAACTCCACACAGACAGTCACCCAAAGCTGGAATCCAACTCGGGTCCCTGGCAGAGTGAGGCAGTAGTGCTAACCACTGAGCCACCGTGTCACCCTGCACAGGTGGTATTGAGTTGAAGACATTGGGTAAAAGCTGAGAGCTTGATGTGTGAGGACTCCTTCACCATTCCAAAAATTAACCTGATCGTAATCCCAGATCATCTGCACCTTGACTTCATTTACTCATTTTTGATCCAAAATGGATGATCTCTCACTTTGCCATGTTTAAAACTCACCTGTGTCCCTTTGTAACTGTCTGCTTCCATCTGTGCTACTTGTACAGACAGTTTAAACCTTTTTAAATGTTTTTAAATTTCATCACATAGCAAAAGAAATATTGTACTAGTCTAATCTGAGTTGAGATTTAACAGTCCACAGTGAAACATGAATCAGTATTTAATAGGTTAATAAAAAGCATTCCACGAGATTGCAATAATACCTACATTGTCCAATCCAAAAGTTTGCAGGTCATGAACTGACAGAAAAAAGGGAGAAAACAATTAGAAACAGGATTTAATAACATGACTTTTTAAAAAAAATAATTTACAGTGGAAATAGTTGCATAGTGGTTCTTTTAGTAAACTACTAAACGAACAGCCAGGGGTAACAATCCAGGCACAAGTTCAAATTCCACCATGGGAGCTGAGGAATTTAAATTCAGTTAATTGAATAATTCTGGAATAGAAATGTAGTGTAAGTAATGGTGACCATATATCTACAGTTCTACTTCAGCAAATCACTTCATGGACAGAAATCTGACGTTTGTACCAGGTAGGGTTTATGTATGACACCAGACCCACAGAAATGCGACCTTCAATTGTCAGTCAGTTGTACCAAACCACTATTACAACCTAAAAGAATGATATGAGATGAATACCCAGCATCAAACTGAGCATCAGACATAACAAAGGGGCACCCTGCCTTGTGTCAAATTTCAGAGAACTGACCCATGGACTAATCAAGCAACCGAATCAGAAAATAAGGGAATAAAATCACATTGTCATAATGAGGATGCCTTCCATCATATCCCAATGTGCTAAATAGGATAGATTCAGAATAGATCTAACAGCTCAAACACATCCACAAGGCACCATAGGTCATCAGCACAATAGAATATTGAACCACACATATTCCTCACATGACCATTAAGCAGAAGGATTAACCATGGTTCAAGGAACATCCTCATTCTTGACAGGAATGTCAACAAGCCAGTGCAAAAAGACATGGTTATAGTATTTACAATCGTCACCAGTTGAGATGAAGATACATCTTGGCTTTTCCTGAGCTGCACACCATCTCAGATGTCAGTCTCCACCAAATTATCTTCAATCCATATAATAGCAGGAAATGGCTATGGGCCCAAACAATATCCTAGCTATAATAAAGATACGTGCCCATGAATTAGCTGTGCTTCGAGTCAACATGTTCCAGAACAGCCATAACATGTGCAACCACCAAAACGTAGAAAATTGCCCAAAGTCATGTGCGCAAAAAGTAGGACAATTCCTATTTGCCAATCACTTCCCCATCAGTCCACAGTTAATTGTGATTGGCAGTGATGAGAAGAGGATTCAAGCAGCACTTAGTCAGTAATAGCCTGCTCCCTGATGTTCAGTGGGTTTTGCCACAACCAGTTAGCTCCAGACCTCATTACAACCGTAGTTCAATCCAAATGTGGAGGAAAAAACTGAATTCCAGAGGCAAGAGTGAGTAATATTGCCCAATGTATTAAACTGAAGTCAATGAGGGAAAACTTTCCACTGGCTGAAGACAAATTCAGCACAAAGGATGATGTTGCAGTTACAGGAGACCAAAAGCTGCTGAGTCAAAATCCTGGAGATCAACCCCTAACTGTATCGTGGGTGTACCTACACGTCAACTGCAGTGGTTCAAGAAGGCAGCTCACCATCACCACCTCAGAACAATTAGGGATGGGTAATAAAAGCTGGCCTTGCCAGTGACACCCACATCCCATAGGAAAAAATGTGAATGACTAGAAATAAAAGATATAATCTATAAAACACAAGAATTGTAATTAAATCTTCTGCACAGTTAATCAGATTCTGGCTGTCCATCTCCATGCCCAGGTGTAAATATTCAGAGAAAGAGTGTTACAAACATCAGGTCTGTGGAAAGAACTCTTCTGAAGAAGAAAGTCACTGGACCTGAAACATTAACTCTGTGGTCCGCTGATACTGCCAGACCTGCTGAGTTTTCCCAGCAATTTCTGTGTTTGTTTCTGATTTCTAACACCCCCAGTTCTCTTTCAGATACAGTGGTCCATGGGGCACTAATGCTCAGCGGCTTAGAGTAGTAATACAAATATGGCAGCTACAAGAACAGGTCAGATGCTAGGAATCCTGCAATGGCTAATTTATCTCCCGACTTCCCAAAGCCTGTCCACCATCTACAAGGCACAAGTCAGGAGTGTGATGAATACTCCCCACTTGCCTGGATGGGTGCAGCTCTAACAACGCTCAAGAAGCTTGACACCATCCAGGACAAAGCAGCCCGCTTAACTGACACCATATTCATAAGCATCCACTCCCTCCACTGTTGACACTTAGTAGCAGCAGTGTGTACTATCCATAAGATGTCCTGCAAAAACTTCGCAAGACTCATGACTTGGCACCTGTCAAACCCACGACCACTTCTATCTAATAGGTCAAGGAGAGCAGATACATTGGAACACCATCCCCTGCAAATTCCCCTCCAAACCACTCACCATCCTGACTTGGAAATATATTATCTTTCTTTCACTGTTGCTGGGTCAAAATCCTGCAATTCCCGAACAGCACTGTGGCTGTACTTGTACCAAATGGACTACAGCAGTTCAAGAAGATAGCTCACCACCACCTTCTCAAGAACAGCTGGGGATAGGCATTAAAAACTAGCCCAACCAGCGACATTCATTATTGGAATGAATGAAAAATATAGATTTGTCCTTAATTTAACATCTTATAGCAATACCACTTCCAATGTAACTTATACCTACAGTACTGTATCCCAGTATGATTCACAACAGACCCGTAACCACCAGCACTGTAGGTGTGTTAAAAGGCCACAAGACTAGAAGATATAGGAGCAGAATTAGGCCATTAGGTCCAGCGAGTCTGCTCCACCCTTTGATGGCTGATACATTTCTCAACCCCATTTTCCTGCCTTCTCCCTATAACCCTTGATCCCCTTTCTAATTACGAACCTATCTATCTCTGTCTTAAACACACTCAGTGACTTGGCCTCCACAGCCCTCTGTTGCAATGACAGCCACAGATTCACCACCCACTTCCTGAAGAAATTCTTCATCTCAGTTCTAAAGGGTCATCCCTTCACTTTGGGGTTGTGCCTTGGGTCAAAGTCTCTTCTACTAGTGGAAACGGTCTTCTCCACGTCCACTTTTTCCAGGCTTCTCTGTATTCTGTACGTTTCAATCAGATCCCCCGTCATCCATCTAAACTCCATCTAGTACAGACCTAGAGTCCTTAAACACTCCTTATATGACAAGCCCTTCATCCTCAGGATCATTGTTGTAAACCTCTTCTAGACCCCTTCCAAGGCCAGCACATCTTTCCTTAGATACAGTGACAGACCGGTCTCCAACAGTCTGTACCTATGCCTTAGTGATAGACTTGTCTCCATCAGTACTGTACTGCAATCATATACAGTGATAGACTTGTCCCCACCAGTACTGTACTGCAGTCATATAGACAATGATAGACTTGTCGCCACTAGTACAGTACCACAGGATTATACCATGGCACACTTGTCTCCACTACTGTACCACAGTGTTATACCACAACATACCTGTCCCCACCAGTACTGTATCCCAGTGTTAGTGACAGACCTGTCCGCACCAGTACTATACCCTCAGTGTTACAGTGACTGACCTGTTCCCACCAGTACTGTACCCCAGTGTTATACATGAGCAGATCTGTGTCCCAGAACTACAGTATTATGTAATTAATCTTCTGTCAGTTTGCAGGACAGAATTGTTGACGTTCATGATGGTGATTTTCAAGTCAATGACTCAAAGAGAATTCACACACTTGTCCATTTGGTTTACTGAAATCCCATTACATTCTACAGATCCATGCAACATGGTCATAATTAATGCAAAGCATGGCCAGGAACTAGACAGAGCAAATGGGCTTCAGCAAAAGATAGTGTTTAACAGGCATATCAGCAAATCAGGTTTTATAAGATGTGGAGAACTATTAAAGGCACATAGAGGGAACAGAATCGAGAATTAGTCACTTACTCTCAACAGCATGGACTGCAAGGAAGAAAAGAAACAATTTTTAAAAGTAAGGAAGCATCATTGGGCAATTAAACAGAAAATTCAACGGTATCTCAGAGAATACAAGTAGATTTGCGCAGGTGTAAAAATACTGGAAAACATTCAGAATCAGACAGAGCTTTTGCTGAGTCCACAATTAGTCTGTATCACAGATAAGGTCATCTCTCCCCATGGATCGCTCATCAGTTTCCTGTTTCCAATTCAGTTCCTCACGTGTGCAATCTGAGGAAAATACTTCTAGTTCTCAGCCTTTAGCTCACCATTTGAAGCTTTACTTGTGGCTGTTGATAGGTTCAATCATACCCTCACCTGATGCTCGTCCCCAGTTAAACATCTGTTCTTTTTAAATTTGCTTGCTCGTCTATCGCCATCTCTACTCCCTAAAGTCTAAGAGAACACAGTTTTGGAAGCAAGGTGGATAACTGGCGTGGCCATTTACCAAGAGATCTGGTTGGACATGTAACGCTTTGGTTCTGCTAAAACTGTTCACTACTTCAGGATTGGTCAGGAATGCAAAGATAATGACTGGCTCCACTTCGCTGTAAGTTGTCTTTGTAAACCTGCCACTCCACTATCTACTATCATACAGGCATGGACATGTACAGCACTAAAACAGACCCTTCAGTCCAACTCGTCCATACCGACCAGATATCCTAAATTAATCTCATCCCATTTGCCAGCATTTGGCCCATATCCCTCTGAACCCTTCCTATTCATATACACATGCAGATGCCTTTTAAATGTTGAATTGTACCAGCCTCCACTGCTTTCTCTGGCAGTTCATTCCATATTCACACCACCCTCTGCTTGAAACAATTGCCCCTAATCCTGGGGTCCTTAGTTATAAAGACAGAAACCATTAGTTCAGCTTTTTGTTGGTCCGTCCCTTTCACTAACCCACAGGAACAAATGTTACCCAAAACTGCCCTGTCTTAGACCTGAAACTCTCATGTTTCTCTTCCATCTCTCTTTATTCCCTCTGCAAAGTCATCTTATCCATGAGTCCCACCTCCTGCTCCCTTGAGCTGACCAAACAGATGACCACCCAACTTCCCCTCCTACTGCCCATGTTAATGGATATTGTCAACAGTTCTCTTTCCTCAAATACTATCCCTTTCTTAAATATTATCCCTTCCTTAAATATTATGCCATCACCACCTGTCTCTTCAAATATCCGTCAATGACCTTCTGTCCTTGCAAATTACCACCCCATCATCAGCTTCCCCTTCATCTCCAGTCTTTCACTGTGTTGTCATCTCATTAATCCAAATCCATTTTTCCCTGACCTCCCCTGATTCTGTCCTTGCCACAGTATCAAACAGCTCTGTCGGAATCCTATATGACTTTATAAATGATCCTTTCTCACCCTGTCTGCAACATTTGAATGTGTGTTCACACCATCCTTCAACTGGTGGGGCTGTTCTCAGCTGCCCCTTATTTTCTATTCAGTCACAGCCAGAAAACGTCTTGCTATAGTTTCCCTCATTAACTGCTGATGTCCTCCAAGACAAATCCTTTGACCCCTGCTATTCCTTATTGACATATTGCCTGCCAGCTATACGAAACATAGAAAATAGCAGGAGTGGGCCATTCAGCCCAGCGATCCTGTCTGATCATGGCTGACCATTCGTTCCCTGTTCCTGCTTTCACCCCATGCCCTTTGATTCCTTTAGTCCCAAGAATTACATCTAACTCCTCTTGATAACATTCAATATTTTGGCCTCAACCGCTTTCTGTGGTAGAGAATTCCACAGGTTTCCCATTCTCTGGGTAAAGACATTTCTCCTCATCTCCTCCAAAAGCACACCAGATTCCAATGTACGCTGACGTCAGCCAGCTGTAGCTCAGCATGACCTCTCTTGATCCCTTCTCCATCTCATTTCTCATTCTCATGACATGCAATACTAGATCAGACATTTCCAACTTAAGTGTTGAGAAAGTCATTGTCTTCAGTCTCCAGCACAAAGTCTGTTCAATAGGCACTGATTCTATCCCTCAATCTGGCACTGTCTGAGGCTGAACTAGACAATGCAATCTATCTGACCGCGAGCACAGATTCCAAATCCATACGCAATCCACTATCAAGATTCAATTTTTGTAAAACGTCCATCCCTACCCCTCCTAAGTTCATCCCATAATATCCTCATTTGTGCTCATATGCTAGCCCTTAGAGTCCTGTTGTCCCCATTCCCTGAGCTCATTGACCTACACAAGCTCACAAACTAACGACGACACAATTTGATAAAACTCAGCTTTGTGTTCAAACACATTCATAGTACTGCCCCTTTTTATCTCTCATTTCTCCTCTGAACTGACAACACTCAACGTTCCTTCAAACCCAGCCTCTGGGGTATTAGCAACTTTAATTGCTGTGCATTGTTAGACATCCTTACCAGCCTTAGGCTCTGAAATTCTCTTGCTAATCCTTGATTTGGGTTGTAAAATCTTTTGTTTCTAATTCGTCCTCCTTTGGCTCATGTGCTTCAGGTGTTCCAATGTTGTAAAGCTCCTTGGGACACTTTCTTGAAGCAGTCAATAACTGTAACTTGTTGTCCTTCCTTGAACCCCCTTTCCAAACTTTACCCCAGCCCCCAGCCCTTTACAAACATACCCACTCACATTCCTGACGCAAAATCCCTTTGGGAGGATTCAATACTCTCTCTTACCATGGACATGTGACTGCTGAAAACTTTTCCCAGGAGCAAAATGGAAATTCCCTGCCACCTAACAAGAAATGAAAAGATAGGAGTCAGTTTAAAAACATGCAATAGACATCTAACCACAGACCCCTTCCATTGCCAATAACCAACAGCTAACCACAGAAAGCACAAAAATTGTCACTGATAACCAATGTCTTACCACAACCACTATCCCTGGAATCCAACATCTAACCGCAGACTCACTTTATTGACCTCCAGGAATCCATACACCTGGCAGCCCTCGTTCTTCTGTTCCTGCAGCTTCTGAGTGAATCCTTCCCTCATGCATTGCTCAATGGTGTCTACATTCTTAAATGCCCAGCCTTTCCGTCTGTAGGCCTCACGTACATCAGCACACGTGTTGCAGCATCTATATGGACCAATCAGCATGTGTTACTCTGGGTACTTGTTGCACAGGGAAGTAATGACACAAGAGTTCTCAATAGCCAGAGTTTGCAAATCAGCAGTTCCAGCTGGAGGGGGACAACATCTCTCTCCAATCCCCTTGGGGCACATTCCAGAACATCATTTGGGCAGATCACTGCATCTGTCTTCATGAAGGATAGGGCTTGTTGCTGAGTGACAGGCAGATGTTATATATATGTAGACTTTCAGAACGGGTTTAATAAAGTAATACATACAGATTTACTCAGACTAAAGCACACAGGACCAAATGGATGATGGTAACTTGGAACAGGATTGGCTAAGGGAATAGACAGTTGTGGTGAACAAATATTGTTCTGACTCAGGGAGGGGTACAGGAGTCCAGCAGTCAATATTAGGATGCTTTTTTGTTATATAAAATATCACTTGGACTTGGGAACAGGGAGCACAATTTCAAAGTTAGTGCACAATACAAAACATGGACTGCAGTGGCTCATAAAAGTAGCTCACCACCACATTCTCCAGGACATTTAGGGATGGGCATGAACTAACAATGGCCAATGACAGCAGCGTGAGCCTTTTGAAGAAATGTGTGACATATTGTTAGCAAAATGAAACAACAGTGGTATCACAAATAAACACTTGGTCAAGAGACAGAAAGTGGAGTGTGAAGTTGAGAGTTATTGTTCAGATTCGAGGGTTAGAGTAAAAGGCTGCTTTATAGACTGGGGGAAAGTGGTATCCCTCAACCTCAATGTTGTGACAAATGCTCTTCTTAATATACATTAAAAGTTGGTCTTGAGTATTCAGGCTCTAAGATTTATCAAAACAGTCCCAATGAGTTACACTGACAGACTAAAAGCTTTGGGACTATTTTCCTGACAGCAAAGGAGATTAATGGAGATTTCATAGAGGAGTTCAAAATTCTGAGGTGTTTTGATATGAACAAAGACACTGATTTTACTGATTGGAGGGTCAGTAACCAAAGAACAGGGATAAGTAATTGGCAAAATAGAAGGAAAACAATCTTAAAATCACCACCTTAGGATGTGGTAGAAAGAGATTCAAGAACTTCCAAAAGGGGAACTGGACACAGAAATAGATGCAGAGCAAAGGAGAAAGAGCAGTGCAGTGGGTCTAATTGGGGAGTGACAGAACTGTGATAGCTGCAGTTGGCGGGTATCAACTGAAGGAAACACAGCAAAGCACTATCACATTGTCTGATACCGGGGATTGCAGGATGGTAATTGAGAGGAGTTGGTTAACCTGTTAGTGCTCCTTCCCAACCTGGGTATGCTCTAACTCCCCTTGACCCCAGGGTCTGGAGCTGTGATCCTTCTGGGCTTCAGCTCAAAGAAGGCTTCCTTTCATTCAAACTATGCCGAGAACTGATCAGTGCCACTCACTTCATGTCCTCAGATTCTGCCCCATAACAGCTCTCACATCGGTCTGGGTCCAGCTTTGTGGAATTGAACACCTCCTCCTGTTTTCCCAACTCTGAAACAGATAGAGACAACACAAGGAATATGGGCTCAGCAAGGGAGAGGGGGGAAAGCAAAACACAAAACCTGGGTCTGGAGACAGAGATGACACAGACTACAGACCCAGATCCAGAGAAAAACAGCACATAAAGTACATACTGAGAGAGAGAAATAACATATGGAACAGGGGGCAGAGAGCGAAAAGCAACAATATGGAATGAAAGAGGAGGAAGACACATTCAAAGACAAAAGCTGAACCTACATAAAGCTCTGTTAGGCCAATTAGTGCTGCATCCAGCTCTGGTCACTGCACTTTACAAAGGATGGGAAGATCCCCAACAGCACTTGGGAGATTTACCAGAATGGTTCCAGGGAAGTAGGATTTTAGCAATAGGGTTCTAAGGAGAAGTTGGGGCGGTTCTCCTTGGAGCAAAGAAGATTAAAGAGAGATTTAACTGAAGTGTATAAGATTATGATAGATCAGTTAGACAAAGAAAAGTTGTCCACCAGTTGATGGTATAAGGACCAAGAAATATAGATTTAAGGTTTTGGTCAAGAGATGCTGGGCAGGGGATGAGAGGAACAGCATTTTTACACAGCGACTGGTAATGACCTGGAAACACTGCCTGGAAGCTGAAATCTTCAATGACTTCAAAAGGAAAATGGATAGGCACTTCAGAGAAATTAATTTGCTGAGACTATGGGGTGGAGTTCAGAGGGATTGCGGCTGACTGAATTGTTTTGGGGAGCCAGCATCGATCCAATGGGCCAAATTATTCTATAAGAGATAGCACATGTAACAGACTCAAAGAGAATCAAACATAGAAGCAGCAATTGGCCATTGGGTTACTCTGCCATTCAATAAGATCTTCCACCCGAGTTACGCTATTTGGTACTGTCTGTCTGTGACTTGTTTCCTTTTTATCCAATATCAATCTCCGACTTGAATATACTAATGAAGAAATACATGAGGCATGGACCAAGGTAGAAGAAACACTCGGGGGAGACAACAGAATGATACAAAGATGCGCCACCGCTCAATAATGTAAAATTACCTACCAGATTACCATTATTAACCATCACAGGAAATTAATCAGGAATTTATGGATTAGAGCCAGAACTCAACTGAAATAAATGTGAAAGAAGTGCAGACTGACCCTTAATTCCAAAGGATCAGAGAGTAATTCCAAAGTTATCCTGAGGCAGACAGAGCATAACATTCTGGTTTTGATTCATGTTTAGTTACTTGGCCAGAGTCAGGGCAATACTGGATTGATTTTAAATTAGACCCAGTCCCAGGATAGTCAATACCTCCAGGGAGTGTGTATGAGCACAGACTGAAGATACCCTTAAACCTCAATGAATAGCTGATGGATTACATACTGGCTTCATAAATGCAGAGAAATCATTTGGAGGAAAATCTGAGACATTAGTTTCTCTTAATGGCACATTGATGTAGTAGGGGAGGCTACGGCCTAGTGGTATTATCACTGGACTGTTAATCCAGAGACCCAGATAATGTTCTGGGGACCCAGGTTCGAATCCTGCCACAGCAGATGGTGGAATTTGAATTCAATAATTAATTCAATCCGGATTTAAGAGTCTAATGATGACCATGAATCCATTGTCGATTGTCGGGAAAACCCATCTGGTTCACTAATGCCCTTTAGGAAAGGAAACTGCCATCCTTACCTGGTCTGGCCTACATGTGACTCCAGACCCACAGCAATGTGGTTGACTCTTAACTGCCCTCTGGGCAATTAGGGATGGGCAATAAATGCTACTTAGCCAGCAACACCCTCACCCCGTGAATGAATAAAAAAAATACAAAGTGTCGTGGATCACCGAGCAATGTGGGAAATGGATAGAAATAGAGTTACAGAAACAGTTAGAAATATAGAAATACAGTTTTCTTCTCAAGACCTAGCTTATTTTAGACCCCCACCTAGTCACGTCAACAGTTACACAGATCCCATTGCATCCATCTAAACAGTTATATTGTAACTCCAGTTTAAAAAACTGTGTGTACAGGATGTGGTCATCTCTGCTCCCGCTCAGTCTTTGCTTACCGTGCTTCTCCACCTCTGGACTGACTACATTGCCAACCAGGTCCAGTCTCTTTTTGAAGAGATTGTGCTCCACATCGAGCTGCTGCTCCCCAGCCACATCCATCGCATCGATGCTTAGATCTGTCAGTGGACATGGAACATCACCATTAACACTGAAACATAACACATACATCAAGGCACATACATCCTGAAGGGACCCTTCTTTCATTTTGACATTTTTTTTTAATGCAATGCCACCTTGGAATCTGTTTTTGGTAACGGGGCAGTGGAGGGCGAAGAGGTATGAACGACTCAGCCTGTGTTCAGGATGCTCACAGTGGTGTCCTACCCTTCTTAGCTCGCTGCAGTCAGCTGTGGCTCAGTACAGCCTGCCACCATCACAAATCAGAAAGCAAACTCAGAGAACAACTTGCTTTATATAATGCTTCTAGAAAGATCCCAGGGCAAATGTACCAGCAACCAGAAACTGAGCCAGTGGGAAGGAGAGGGAGTGATGATAACAAAAGCTTGCAGGCATAAAGGAGATTTGAGAAGAAACACAAAGCTGATGAAAGCACAGGAACCCATATTAAGGATTTTTGGGCAGCATGGTGGCTCAACGTTTAGCACTGCTGCCTCACAGTGTCAGGGACTCAGATTCAATTCCACCCTCGGGTGACTGTCTGTGTGGAGTCTTCACATTCTCCCCGTGTCTGCATGGGTTTCCACTGGGTGCTCTGCTTTCCTCCCACAGTCCAAAGATGTGCAAGTTAGGGTGGATATGCCATGCTAAATTGGCCATAGTGTTCATGGATGTGCAGGCTAGTGGGTTAGCCATGGGAAATGGGGGAGTGTCTGGGAGGGATGTTATTTGCAGGGTATGTGTGGACTCAATGGGCCAAATGGCCTGCATTTATACTGTAGGGAAGTTATGATTCTAAAAGGATGGGACTAATTCACAAGGAAACGGTATGAAAACAAAGAGTTCACAGTGGGGACAGGGGGTGGAAGAGTTGGTCTTTATTTCAAAAGAAGTGGTGAAGAAAAGCAGCGAAAGAAAAGACAAGGAGAAGGAAAGTATATTTTAAAACTTGCATTAATACTTACAAGCACAGGGCATGTGTGGGAAAATGGTGTCAATATTGATTTTTAGCTTTTCACCTCGTGACGTATCGACGTAGAGCTCTGGATGAACCTAGAGAAGGAAGGAAAATACTAGCAACATCATCACAGAGAGAGTGAGTGAGGGGTATAATCACAGAATAAAAAGTATAAATCACCTTTTAACAAGATTACTTGTGTTTGATTTCCACGCAATTAAAGGTGATACCTGCGTACATTAAATACCAGGGAACATTCTGCAATTCAGGGGTATTACCCAGTCATAAATCTTCAAACCTTTCCCTCAAAACAAGGAAATTTCACAAGAGACTGAGAGATGACCAGTGATTGCTCACTTGTCTGGCAGGGGACACATTCAAGCTGTGGACCTCTGAACAAAAATCTGTCTATCTCAGCCATGACTATACTTAATGACTCGGTAAGGAATTCCACAGATTCACTACCTTCTGAGAAGAGATTCCTCCTCATCCGTGTTGTAACACCCTTACTCTGAGATGATGCCTTCTGTTCTAGACTCTCCCACAAGAGGAAACAACCTTTCCACACCTGCCCTTTTAAGTCCTGAGAATCTTCTACGTTGAAGGCCACCTCTCATTCTTCTTAACTCCATTGAGTACAGGTCCAACTTATTCAACCTCTCCTCACGAAGACAGTTCTCCACACCTGGTATCAACCTAGTGAACCTTCTCCGGACTTTTACATCTTTCCATAGATAAGGGGCCCAAAACAGTTCACATTATTGTAGCTGTGGTCTGACAAGTATAGTTTAAGCAAAACATCCCCACTTTTATATTCCATTTCTTTTGAAATGGAGACCAACATTCCATTTCCCTTCTGCCTACTGAACTTGGATGCTAGCCTTTTGTGGTTTATGCACAAGGACTCCCAAATCCCTCCGTGCTGCAGTTTTCTGCAGTCAGCTCCTCTTTTCTTCCTGCAAAGTGCATAATTTCATATTTCCCCATATTATGTTCCATCTGCCAAGTTTTTGCCCATTCACTTAACCTGTCTACATCCCTCCAAAGACTCTGTGTCATCCTGACCATTTGCCTTCACACCAGCATTCCCTCTAATTTTCTTAATGACTGTATGGACCTCGGAGGCCTGTGCATAGCAGCGATTTCCAGAAATAGAAGTTAATGCTTTGATCATCACTGGTTATTGTTCGTTCACTTCACTCATCCAAGTCATTAACTTATGTTATAAATAACTGTGTACCCAGCACTGACCCCTGTGGCACTCCACTGGTTACAGGTTGCCATCTTGAAATTGCCCCCCTTTCCCCTGTCTTCTATTAGTTAGCTAATTCTCTATCCATGCTAATATACAGGTTGGGTGCCTGCACTTCAAAAACTGAAATGATCTAGAAACTGAAAGCAGACCCAAGTGGATATGTAAACATACTAAGTTCATGCCTTTGCAAAAAGAAAAAAAACTTGTCTATCATGGTAAGTGTGTTCGAAAACCGAAAACACACTATTTGAAAATCAGTTGGTCCTGATGTTTTTGGATAAAGGATTCTTATAGTACCAACAACACCATGAGCTCTTATTTTATTAAACAGCAGAATGTGTGGCACCTTATTGAATACCTTCTGAAAATCCAGATGTATTACATCCAGTTTCCCTTTCATCCATCCTGCTTGTTTCTGCCTTAAAGAATGCTAGTAAATTTGTCAGGCACGGTTTCCCCTTCATGATGCCATGCTTTTCTTTATTTCTTCATTCTTCTGCCTTTACATTCTATGTTTTGGTTTATTTTTCTGCGTTTTAAGAGTGGCGACATTATACAACACTTCTCACTGTATTTTGCAACAAAATACATGTAACAACGAATAAATCAAACAAATCAAACAAATCAAATGCTGGATGTTTGATCATTTCATGTATTTCTAAATACTCTACTGTTACACTGTAGAGTCTAATGTTTTCCCAATAACAAATGTTAAGCTAACTGGCCTATGGTTACCTATGTTTTGTCTCCTTCCCTTTTGAAATAAAGGTATTACTCTGGCAGTTTTCCAATCCTCATTTCCAGGATTAAGCATTCCTGGAAGATTACTAGCTGTGAATCCACTGTCTCTGCAGCTACATCCCTTAATATCTGAGGAAGTGTCTGATCAGATGCGGGGGAAAAACTAACATGAGCCCCAGTAGCTTCCCGTGCACTATTTTTTTAGTGATTGTTATTGTATTTATTTCCTCTTCTCCTTTTGCCCCTTGAATTTTTAGGATTTTGAGATAGTTTTGGGATGTTACTAGTGTCTTCTACTGTGAAGACTGATGCTAACTATTTATTCAACTCCTCTGCCATTTCTCAGCCTCTTTCTCCAAAGGGTCACTGTTCACTTTAGCTTCACTCGTCCTTTATATATATTGTAGTTTTTACTGTCTATCTTGATATTACTGGCAAGTTTAACTTCAATAGTTCATGGAATGGCTGTTACAGTGCTATTTCCTTTCCCAAAACATAAATATCTAGTAAACAAAAGATAAAATGACAATGACAGCAAAGGCAAAGAGGCCAATCAATTCCACAAACAGAGGTCAAAGAATGCACATATCAGACAGTTCAATCATCAATGCAGAGTTTATGAAAACGTTGTTTTGTTCCCAAAAAGAATGAAACCTAACCTTCAGATGAGGTAGAGAAAAGGTCAACGGTTATCCTAAAGTCATGAGCAGTTGTCTCATATCCATTGGCTAGGAGACATAGAACATAGAACAGTACAGCACAGTACAGGCCCTTCGGCCCACGATGTTGTGCCAAACTTTTACCCTAAACCTAAGGTCTATCTAACCTCCACTGCTACATTATACTATCATCCATATGCCTATCTAACAGCCGCTCAAATGCCCTTAATGAGGCCAACTCCACTACCCTCTCCGGCAATGCATTCCACACCCCGACCACTCTCTGAGTAAAGAACCTACCTCTGACGTCATACAAATGGCTAATCGACACAATGTAACTACCAGCCCCTAGAAACGGGGGATACCGTCCAATTCTCATCAGCCGCTTCCTTCAGGTTGAAGATGGGGCACGAGAAGGGAAGACAACAAAGGAGCTCTTCACACTAAGTTACTGTCTCCACCATTTCAATCTGTTACCAGTTGTATACTTTTCTGTCTAATTCATTAACGATGTGGAGATACCGGTGTTGGACTGGGATGGCCAAAGTCAAAAATCACACGACACCAGGTTATAGTCCAACACGTTTATTTGAAGACACAGCATTCGGAGTCTCACTCCTTCTTCAGGTGTCAGTGAGAGAGGCGGCATCAGACACAGAATTTATAAACAAAGGTCAAAGGGTCATAGAACTCAGGCAAATGTCTTGAATAAACCTAAGGTGCTGTTAAATCTTTAACCAGTCAGAAAGGATTAATATGCAAATTCCAGAATTTCTTTCAATCACTGCCCTGAGATAACTAAAGGTTTTATCAGCATACCAGAGGTAATACCCCAGGTCAGACAATGCATTTTAGGTGTGAGGACCTGTTTAGAATCTGGCTGTGTATAAACTTGGAATCAGACTGGTTTTATTTCCAAAGTAGGAATTTATAAAATGCCACATTGCCTGTCTACAAATTGTGTGCTTTTTGAATAAAATAGAATGTATCTGCAATTACACACCTGCAAATGCAAATTCACCCCACATGTATGTGTGGGGGCGAGAGAGAGAGAGAGAGAGAGAGAGAGAGAGAGAGAGCGCGTGCGCAAAGGACAGAGAGAGAGAGAGAGTGTGTGTGTGTGTGTGTGAGAGAGCGGGAGAGAGTCTGTGTGTGTGTCAGAGAGAGAGTAGGGTGTGGTGGGGTCACCTATAGTGCGACATGAACCCAAGATCCCGGTTCAGGCCATCCTCATGGGTACGGAACTTGGTTATCAGCCTCTGCTCGGCGACTCTGCGTCGTTGTGTATCGTGAAGTCCACCTTGGAGGATGTTTATCCGAAGATTCGAGGCCAAATGTCATTGACTGCTGAAGTGTTCCCCCCCCTGGGAGGGAACATCCCGGTCTGGCGATTGTTGCACAATGTCCATTCATCTGTTGTCATAGTGTCTGCATGGTTTCGCCAAAATACCATGCCTTGAGGCATCCTTGCCTGCAGCATTTAAGATAGACAATGTTGGCCAAGTCACATGAATATCCGCCACGCACCTGCTGGGTGGTGTTCCCACGTGTGATGGTAGTGTCCATGTTAATGATCTGACATGTCTTGCAGAGGTTGCCACGAAGGGTTGCGTGGTGTTGTGGTCAACGTTGTCCTGAAGGCTGGGTAGTTTGCTGTGAACAATGGCCTCTTTAAGGGTTGGTGGTTGTTTGAAGGCAACAAGTTGAAGCATAGGGAAGATCCTGGCAAGGTGCTCATTGTCAACAGTGATGTGTTGAAGGCTGTGAAGGACATGGTGTAGCTTCTCTGCTCCCATCAAGGATGGACATGTCACTCTACCACAAGTCTATACATAACCTCACAATGCTGCACTTCTCTAGCTTCCACCCTAAACATATTAAAAAAGCCATTCCCTACGGACAAGCGCTGTGCATGCACAGGATCCGTTCAGATGAGGAGGATGCCACTGACACCTGAAGCTCACCCTCTTAGGAGCAGGATACAATGCCCAGTACATCAATTGCCAGTTCTGACGGGCCACAGTGAAAAACCATAATGACCTCCTCAGAAGACAGACATGGGATACGACCGACAGGGTACCCTTCGTCGTCCAGCTATAATCAAATTCAACTACTGCAAGGATTGATCTTACACCTTCAATGGAGTGTAAACATTTCTTAAACTCTCCAACACAGTACAAAAGGGGCCACTAACACAGCATCTCGCAAAACTGGGAGGAAAGTCACCAGCAACTGAATGTGATCCCCAAATAAGGCTCCACAATTAACAGAATGATCTTGGCTCTATTCGAAACTCAGTGGAAATTATTCAATCCATATTTTTACGATTAAGTAATTTCTGAAAATAATACTTAGGAAACAAGTAACTAACAGTGATAACATCAGACAGAGGAAGGGGCCAGGTGGGGGTAGACGTTCACAGGAGACACTCACCTCCTTTGTAAGATAATACTGGAGTTCAGAGAAAAACAGAAGCAACATGATAAGACTGCTGACCAACGTCACTGTGGAACAAGAGAAAGAGAGGGTCAAGAGGCTGCAGCCACAGACAACCCATTGACCATCAAGGCCAGAGCTCTAACATATCGCTTCCTCCCTCACGGTCCCATTCACACTCTCCTTCCTTCCTTGGCCCATGCCCCCCCCCCCCACCCCCGCCTATTCCCCCATCTCCCTCCTCACCCAGGGCCCCTCCACAGGTTTTCACTCGGAAATCCTCCAGGGTTTTGGGATAAGCATCGAACCGCCGCAGCCTCCGCAGCGCCTCCATCCTGACCCCGGAAACACAACCTTGCACTTCCGGCGGAACCGGCCCCGGCCCGGCTCCTATTGGCTGCGATACTGCGAGGGGATTCCCGGGCGGGGCGGCAGGGGCTGGAGCGTGCTGCCCGACAGGGTCAGGGGTCACCACTGCCCTGTGGAGTCGGGGTGGGGGATGGGTGTCTGTGCTGAGGGGGGTATTTACAGGGACGGGGGTGGGGGATGGGTGTCTGTGCTGAGGGGGG